AGAGTGTTTTCCTTATCAACACAGGTTTGGGGACAGTTTACTGTATGCTCACTCTCTTCCTCAGTCTTCTTCCTTTTGGATGCTTTGCCTCCCAGTGATTTCAAAGGCACCAAATATTTATCAGTAATAATGTCTTTAATGTGATCAGTACTGCCCTGCTCATCTATGGATTCACTTACATTTTTATTCATAAGTATCTGCTTATTAGGAAATGATTGGCTAATGACCTTGTTCACTTCAGACCCAAGACTATGATGTGTGAAAAGAGCACTGTCCTCAGATTTTGACCTAGCTTTCTCTGATTTAGAAACAGAAGTGTTGCTAAAGGGAGCGGTCTTCAAAAGGTTTCTTTTCCCAATGTCTAAGAGAGAAGGGGAGAAACTTGTATTCAAACCCAAATGAGTTTTCACAGTAGAGGTAGCTCCAAATACAGGTGATGAGACCCGAATAGTAAATTCTTGGGGAGGTGTCTTTGCCGCAGAGTCTGAAAATCTTAAACTATCTTCACTACTTCCTGTAGACTCCCCCGAAGGCTGTCTTTTGTGATCTCCTTCAAGACACTGGTAGAGCTCATCCCCAAGAGGGCTCGCAGGACCTTGGTGTTCAGATTCTTCTTGAACATTAATTCCAAGTGTTTCAGCAACAACAGTGTCTAAATTAAAAGGTGACTTATCAGTGGGATAACTGCTTGTTCCGCATATTTTAGAAAGTGGAGAGTGACTCTGAGTGCAAGTGTCAGCCACGAGAATTTCATGTTCCTCAGAGTTCTGTGGTGCAGGAGCTAAAGCCCTGGAAATTTTTCTTAATTCATTTGTACACACAGAGTGCTCCAATTTAGTATGTGTTTGTTCTATGTATCGGACATGGAGATTCTCCTTTCTTCGTAGCCCGTTAGTGCCAGAAAATGAAAAGGATGTTATTGGTGAATCAGGAATAATGTTTTCCTCACATTCAAGCTCAGCTACTTGATCCTGTTGGCCATTTTTAATTTTCTGCTGCAGCTGCTCAGAAAGCTTTTTGTTTTCCTCCTGAAGAGTATTTTTTTCATTCATCAGCTCCGTGATAAGCTTGAGATTCTGCTGCCGGATGTTCTCAAACTCCTGCTGCTTTTTGTGCATATGCTCTTCCGTTACTGCACAGCGGTCACACAGTCCTGCTCTTAACCTATCTTCTAAAATTTTAATGGTTTCCTGAAGGACTTTCTGTTGGTCTCTCAGCTGCTGATTTTTGGTAAAGAATTCTTCTAGTCTCTGTGCATCTAAAATTCGTTCCTTTTTCAGTTTGGTTACTTTTATTTGTAAACCTTGTACTTCCTTATCATGATATTCTTTTAGTTTTGTCCAGAGTTCCTTGAAGTCACTGGACACATCTGCAGAGTTGGGGCTTCCACAGCTGCTTCCCGAAATGCTCATCTTCTTACCAGGCTTCACACTTCCGTTTGCTGATGTTTCCTGGCCTTTCTTGTTGTCTTACATAGGTGTGAAGTTGTCTTTGGATTACTAAAATGCAGCTCCGAGCCTCCCTGGACAGCCCTCGGGAGCCCAAGGCGGACAGCGGATGTCCTCCGGGGAGGCCCTGCCGCTCGCTGCTCCCGTCGTGTCGCCAGGCGGCCGAGCCCACGCCGGGGACGGCCACAGCCTCCCGGAGGAAGGCCGGAGGGCGCCCGGCCCCCGATTTCTTTCATTTTTTTTTTGTTTTTTTCCTTGATTTGTTTAAGGGAATGTTTTATTTCCTCTTTAAAGGCCTCTATCATCTTCTTAAAGTCATTTTTAAGATCGATTTCTTCTGCTTCTTCTGCTTTGGGATGTTCAGGTCTTCCTGATGTAGAACCAGTAGGTTCTGATGGTGCCATATTGGTATTTATGTTATTGACTGTATTTTTGCACTGGTGTCTACCCATCTCTTTCTCCACTTGGTGCAAGCAGTGTCTGTGTCTGAGGGAGCCTCTCTTGATCCGATTGATACTCTTGGTCCTATGGGAACTCTTGGTCTAATCAGGGCTCTTAGTCCAATCAGTGCTGATGAACTCTGTGTCTCAGAGAATAGCTCTTAGTCTAATTGGCACTGGTGGGCTCTGTCTCAGGAAGCAGCTATTCCCAATCGGTGTAGAGTGGGCTTATGGCTCTGGTGGTCACTGGTGCTACAGGGGATGGTTGGCTTCTTGAGGGGGTGGGGGAAGAGGCAGCTGTTCCGTCCCTGGGGCTCCAATGGATGGGTGGAAGGGCATGGAATGTGTCCCCCCCAGGCCTAGGAGCTAGAGACCTGGTCTTCCTAGTCCAGAGATGGGGCCTTACCTGTTCCCAGTCGGTGCAGGGTGGGCTTATGGCTCCAGTGGTCATTGGTGTTGCAGGGGATGGTTGGCTTGGTAAGGGAGTGGGGAAGAGGCAGTGGCCCAGTGCCTAGGGCTCCAATGGATGGATGGAAGGGCACGGAATGTGCCCCCCCAGGGGGGCCTAGGGGCTAGAGACCTGGTCTTCCCAGTCCAGAGATGGGGCCTTACCTGTTCCCAATCAGTGCAGGGTGGGCTTATGGCTCCTCCGATGGTCACTGGTGCTGCAGGGGATGGTTGGCTTGGCAAGGGAGTGGAGAAGAGGCAGTGACCCAGTACCTGGGGCTCCAATGGCTGCGGGGAGGGGCATGGAATGTGCCCCCAGGGCCTAGGAGCTAGAGACCTGGTCTTCCCAGTCCAGAGATGGGGCCTTACCTGTTCCCAATCGGTGAAGGGTGGCCTGAAATGGATTTTTAAGTAGCGTCTCAGCTGAGTCCCCTGGCCTTTGTGAATTATTGTCCTAGGGAAGGGGTGGTGGTCAACTATGGGAAGCAATTTCCAGGGAGTAAGCAAAGATCCCTCAGTAGCTCTTGAGGCCTGGGGAAATGTTTGGAGAATTATCACTTGGTCTAGTGTTCTAGGTCCTTTGTAGTTGGCAGAGAAAATAAATTACTGTGATTATCTAGGAGTCCTCTTCCTTTGGGCTTTCACAAAAAGTGAAACTAGATTCTGTGGTGGTATTAATGAGAAAGACCCCTATAGGCTCATATATTTGAATGCTTGGTACCAAGTCGGTAGAACTATTTGGGAAGGATTGGGAGGTACAGCCTTGTTAGAGGAGGTGTGGCCTTGTTAGAAGAGGCATGTTGTTGGAGGTGGGCTTTGAGGTTTCAAAGGCCTACAGCATTCCCAATTAACAACCTCCCCCCAGCTGAGTGCTTGTTGATCAAGATGTGAGCTCTCAGCTACTGCTCTAGTGCCATGCCTGCCTGTCTTCTGCCTTCTTTCCTGCCATATTGGTCATGGATTCACCATCAGAAACTGTAAGCAAGCCACCAGTTAGAAACGTTCTTTCACAAGATGCCTTTATGGTGGTGTCTCTTCAAGCAATAGGAAAGTAGCTAAGATAAAGCCTGTCATGCTTCCATGCTCTGCCTTTCCAGGAGTTTGGGCAGGGTTGCAGGGCCTGTTGGCTGTTCAGCAAGCAGATCAGAGGGCTCATCTTCACCAGGGCTACTGGGGAGGAGTTTAGTAGTACTGTTCAGCTGGCAAAAGCTGTGAGAATTGTCATACCTGTGCTCAGGTTCCTCACCTTTCTCTTGAACACTGGCGCGTGCACATACACACTTCTGGTGTCTTCTCTGAATGGTCAAAGTGTCAAGAGCAGGCCTTTACACCCTGGTCTCCATCCCAGAACTGTTAGTCAAGCAGCCCCTTCCCTGGCATGTGGCCAGACTGGTTCCAAGGCAGTCAACTATTCCCAACATGTTCTGGTCACTCTTAAAATAGAAGGGGCCCTAAAGTACTAGCATGTATCCAAGCAGTTCCTATTTTGGGGTAGGAATATTCTGGAGTCTTGGTGCTGGATTTCTTCTCCAAGAAAAGACTTACCTCACAGTTCTGATAACCACCTCCCCACTAAGTCTACATATTTACCTTTCCTGGGTTTTCTTCCTCCTTTGCTCTAAATACTGACATTACTCTTGTCAAAATATCAAGAACATGAGATTTTTTTCTTTCTAGTCTGACCCAAATAGTAAAGACATACATTTCTGGGCTTGGGTTGTAGCTCAATTTACGTTGTCCTTACCTAGCATGCTTAAAGGCACAGGATCCCTATGAGCTGTAAAAAGCCAATATAGTATGTGCCAGTCCTGTAATGCTAGCGGATGAGGAGGTAGACGCTCTAATGCCAGAGTCATCCTAGTCTACAAAGTGAGTTTGTGTTCAGGGAGAGACACATGACACTGTCTAAAAATAGAAAATGACACTCTGTTTAAAAAAAGAAAAGGTAACTATTTCTTTCCCCCAATTATGGTATTGCTATTTACAGTAAAGAAGCAAGCAAGGGGCCTGATTTAATTTTTAAAATTCACTAACGTGCTTTTTTTTGTCTTATTAAGTAATCTACCTGGAGAATATTCCCTGTGTGTTTGAAAAAAGTGTCTATATTAGTGCTTGTGGTTAGAATGTCCAGTTTGCCTATTAGGCTTTTTTATAGTGACTTCCCTTTGCCTTAGGATGCTCTATTTTTATTATATATTATTGAAAAATTATATATTGAAATCTATATTGCTTTAGAACTGCCCATGTCTCACTTCATATTATTATTTCAGGTTGGTTTTTAAATTTTTTTTGACACAGCATTTCATGTGGTCTCCCAGAATTGCCTGTACAAAAGGATAACCTTGTTCTGGTCCTCTTCTACCTCCCAATTTTTGGGATAATAGCACTGCTACCACCATCTCCTGCTACTTTTTCAAATAATTGTTTTGATCAAATACAGAATAATTCATTGACAGGCTTCCTTGCATGGCTAATGTAGTACTGAATTTTGGCAGACTTAGTCATTTTGTCATTATTTCTTTAAATGTTGTTTCTTCCCCTTTCTCTGTCCCTTCTAATTCTCAGGCAGTTACTCAGGTGTCCTCATGATTCATTGTACCCTGTGCTAACAATTGTTTCTTTTTTAATTTATATTTTATTTGTTTATATTATGGAATGCGTGCCATGGCACAGGTGAGGAAATCATGAGACAATTTGTGGGAGTAAGTTCTCTTTTACTATGTGAACCCTGGGGACCAAACTCAGGGTGTCAAGATTGGCAGCAAGCATCTTTACCCATGGAGCCATCTCATGAACTCTTACAATTTTTTCTTTCTGCCAAGTATTTTTGTTATTGTTGAAAATATTTTTCTATACAATATATTCTGATCAAAGTTTCACCTCCTTCATCTTCTCCCCATCTTCCAACACATCTAACTCCACACCTTCCAATACTTTCAATAGCTTTCTTTCCCATTCCGTGGACTAAATAATCTCAATTGACTTATCTTCAAGATTACCTGGTTCTCCTTTTGCCCACTCGCACATGGTAGGCCCTCCCTCCAATGATTTTTATTCAATTTTATTATTTTACTTACCTTATAAATAATGCTGTTAGAATATATTTTTATTCATTTCTTTATTGGTGAGGAGGTGGGGCCAGTGCATGCCATGCTGCATATGTGGATATTACAGGACAACTTTAGTTAGTTCTCTCCTTCCATCATGTGGGTTCTGGGTATGGGAATCAGGTCGTCAGGGTTGATGGCAAAGTCTTTTATCTGCAGGGTTATCTCACTAGCCCTTATTTTTTTAATTTGTAGAATTTTTATTTGTTATTTGGAAAAGCAGTTTAATAATCTTTGTGAACATTCTTTTCTTTTATTTTTAAAAAAGATTTATTTATTTATTTTTAATGTATATTTGTTTTTTGCATGTATGTCTGTGTGAGGATGCCAGGTCCCCTGGAATTGGAGTTACAGACAGTTGTGAGCTGTCATGTGGATGCTGGGAATTGATCCCGGATCCTTTGGAAGAGCAGCCAGTGCTCTTAACTTCTGAGCCATCTCTCCAGCCCATGAATATTCTTTTCTACTGGTTTCCTTTAATTCCTTTCCTATATTATAATCACCTCTAGCTTTTCAAGCACATTTAGAGTAGAAGTATTAAAATCTTAGTATAACAATCCCAATACTTGGCTGATTTCTCCTTTTACTGAAAACAATTTTCATTTTATTTATATATAGTTTATGCATGTGCTTACACATGCACACTCAAGGTATGAATCCATGTGTTCACAACTGCTGGGCAGAGGTTAACATTGAGTGTACTCTTTTACCACTTTTCACATTATTTTAAATTTTGTTTTTAATTTATTTGTACTATTTTAAGTGTGTGTGTGTGTGTGTGCACGCACATGAGTGTGTGTGTGTGTGTGTGCATGCGTGTGCACATGTGAAGGTGCCTACAGAAGCACAGTGCCTTATTCCCCTGGAGCTGGAGTTATAGGTGGTTGTGAGCCACCTGATGAGGGAAGGTGATGAGAATCAACCTGAGTCCTCTGGAAGAGCAATGCATATTCTCAACTGCTGAGCCATCTCTCCAGACATGTAATTTTTATTTTTAAATTATGTGTGTAAATGTGTGCATGAGTGTAGTTTGTGCACATGTGTGTGTGTGTGGTGTTACAAAATCCAGAAGGGGTGGCAGATCCATGGAGCTTGAGTCACATGCCCTCGTGAGCTGCCTGTTGTGGATGCTGGGAATCAAGCTTAGGTTGTCTGCAAGAGCAGCATGAACTGTTGAGACTTTCTAGCCACCACCCCACCTTGTTTTCTGGGACAGAACCTGTCTCTAAAACTGTAGGTAGAAGTTTCTGTCCTGTCTACCAGCTCTCAAATAACTGGCAGCCACTTCCCAAATAACTGACTTGGAGACTTAGTACAAATTATAAGTGCTCAATTGATAGCTAAGGCTTGTTACTACCTCTTACATCTAAATTAACCCATATTTCTTATCTATACTTTGCCATATGGCTCATGGCTTGTTACCTTGTTTTCTACAGGTCCTGTTTTCCTTGGAGGCTGGCGTCCATCTGACTCTGCCCTTCTTCATGCCAGCATTCTCACCTATACTTTTTGCCTGGCTACTGGTCAATCAGTGTTTTATTAAACCAACTTGAGTGACAAATCTTTACAGCATACAAAGGGAGTATGTATGTCCACCTCTTGCTGACTTCATTACTCCTTATATTTGCAATAAAGAGGTGAATTTCCAACATGTGTGTTTTGTCACTAATGTCACAGCACTAAACCTTGAGCCCACAGTTACAACTAGATTGGTTGGCCAGCAAGCCCTCTGGATCTACCTATCTCACAGAACCCAGGTTTAAATGTTTGCCGCTGTGCTTCGGTTTTACATCTATGTTGGGGGTTAAAATTAGATCTTCGTGCTTAATTAGCAGCCATTTTCACTACTGAGCCCTCTCCCAGCACCACTTTTAAAAATTGAGATGGAGGCCTCATGTAGCGCAGGATATACTTAAACTTGATGTGCAACCAAGGATGACCATGAAATTCTGATTCATGTACAATCTACTTCTCAAGTGCTGTGATTACAGACCTTGGCCACTATGTTCAGCTCTTATTATTTCTGCTACTACTTTTCCATGAATGGGGTCTGTATCATTGCATGACAACTTTCTTTCCTTTTCATTAAAACATATTTCATTAAAAAAATTAAAATATAATTACATTGCTTCCCCTTCTCCCCTCCAACCCCTCCCATGTATTCCCCACATCTCACTACCTTCCAAAATTATGGCCTCTTTTTTTTAATAATTTTGTGTACACACACACACACACACACACACACACACACACACACACAATGTATATGATTTCAAGGCTAATGAATTGGTATCGGGTAACCAGTTAGGGAGCTCCTCCGTGGTGAAGACTAATTTTCCTCCTCTCAACATTCCTCAGTCCCCTGTAGCTCTTTGTCTAGGGCTGAGGCCCTGTGAGGTTTCCTCCTTACATCTTAGCAACTGTATTGGTGCTGTCCTTTTTCAGGTCTGCTTGACAATTTTCTTGATGGCTGCATGGTGTCATATGACTAAGAATGTGTCCCACCCATGACAATTAGGAATGAGTATTTACATCTAATTACATGCCATTGACCGTGGAACAGAAACACTGTAACCTGGGCTAAGGAAGACACCACAGGAGGACCGTATGTGACCACCTGTGGAAATCTGTAGCCCTGATTAGGGAGTGACAGGACATCTCAGTACATCTTCTCATTACACAGACAGCAGTCGGGGCCTGAGGCCTCCTCCAGTGTGCAGTCATGGTGTCACTGATGAGTGCAGCCTTGCTGTAGATGTGAGTGGGGTAGAACTGCACGGCCAGTGTCTAAGAGGGAGACGCTTCAGAGAACTCCTTGAAGGATAGCTGTTCAGGATTCCTGAATGGAAGAGATGTTTTATAGCTGCCCCCGTGGCTCTGAGATAGTGTACTGTCGTTATCTGAGTGTCCTGTATACCTTGTGCTTAAATGTCCTCAGCCATGTGTTCTCCCTTCCTTCTTTCCAAATGTGAAGCCTCCCATCATATGGAAGTTGTAGCAGGAGCTGAAGAGAAGCCCACGCTTATCCAACCTGAGTCTAGAGAAGCCGCAGCTGCAGCAGATGGAGAATGAGGAGGGGGAAATATTTGTAAGGCAAGTGGAGGTCCTCTGAACTGTCAGCACCAAGAACACCAGTGACATTTGAATTCTCTATTTAAATGACATTTCTTTGGTAACTTAGACACATACCTGAATCATCTTAGAAGGCACTTGAAGCATATGTTGAGAATTCAGCTCTTTATTGTAAACACAAGGGCTGAGGGGCTAAGGGTGTAATAACAGAATGTTGTTGGCAGCAACACCTAAGACCTATGACAGAATTAGCTGTTGGCCCATGCTGCTTATGGCCACAGAAGTTTCACATAGAAAGGGAGGATAGGGAAAATAATTGGGAGGAGTCTAGTTACCATTTCATTGCCTGTGCACTATGAACTCTGTGGATGGTCTCTTACAAAGTTTCAGTCAGAGTCCAGGGCTGGAATGAAATCCTGAGTATGGGTGAGAGGGATCATCTCTATTGGAAAAAAGCATTGTTTCTTCCTAGGATCTTGCTTTGTCTTTCTTGTAGATATGTGGTCCTCTATGGTTAAGAGTGGGGTGAGGACAGTATGAAAGGTGACAAAAAAGAACATGTGTGTCAGTGTGACCCTACTATGGAACTTGGAAAGTATCTGTAATATACAGAGCTTACTGACTGTGAATTAAAGTGTTACCTCCTGGAAAGAGACCTTGTCACTCTGTTTAAATGACACTTCCTTGATAACTTAGACATGTATCTTAACAACCTCAGAAGACACACAAAACACACATGTTGGAAATTCACCTCTTTATTGCAAATATAAGGACTAATGAAATCAGCAAGTAGTAACAGGGTTTTGGCGGCAGCCAAATCTCATGTGAATCTGGCTCCTGAGCAAGTGTGGCTCTCTAAGGCTCCTCCACAATCTCCAGAGAAAGATGTTCTGGGAAGCAGGAGGAGAACTTCTGATTGCTTATAGCCTCTTATATCTCCTGTATTGTTCTCTCCTCTTAAAAAACCATCTCTACAATGAGTGAGAAAAAGGAACAGGTTCAGTGTAGTAAACTTTTAGGACCACAACTGAAGTACTTAAAAATAAAAACAAACAGCATGAATCTACAGAAATCTACTAATAAAGATATCATCTACTAATAAAAATATCATGTACTAATAAAGACACACGGACTTTGTTCTTTTCTAGTTGTAGTAACCAAATATTTTCCAACTAAATTTAGGTTGTACTCCACACTGTAGCTGAAAATTTTCCTGTGTCCTGGCCTGCTGGCAGCTGGGACAAAATCTCCCCCAAGTAAACATGCAGAGGCTTATATTAATGATAGCTGCATGGCCATCGCTCAAGCTTTTTGCTACCTAGCTCTTATGTCTTAAATTAGCCCATAACTATTAATCTATGTATCACCACATGTTCTATGGCTTTACCTGCATCCCATTACATGTTGCTCCTTGGGCAGCTCGCTGGTGTCTCCCCTGCTCTGCCTTTCTCCTTCCTCCTTTCTAGTTAGAATGTCCTGCCTAACCCTATTCTGCCTCACCATTGGCCAAACATCTTTATTTATCAACCAATCAGAGCAACACATATTCACAGCATACAGAATGACATCACCCATCAATTTTCCTTGGTTATGATAAAAGATGAATTAGATTCGAAACCTTAGACTCACAAATATAGGATAGATAGCATATCTTCTTTAATTTTGCCAAATACAAATAAACTAGATATTAGAACTATAATTCTTGCTTGATAACTGTTTTGTTATATGTAATTTTATTATGTTAAAGCTAAAACCTTCCTTTTGAATACAAAGAAAAGGGGGAAATGATGGGTGATGTAATTCTGTATGCTGTGTATATATGTTGCTCTGAGTGGTTGATAAATAAAGTTGTTTGGCCACTGGTGAGGCAGAATAGGGTTATGTGGGACATTTTAACTAGAGAGGAGGAAGGAGAAAGGCAGAGCATGGGAGACGCTACTAGCCACCACCATAAGCAGCAAGATGTAAAGGTATGGGTAAGTCATGAGCCACGTGGCAAAGTATAGATTTATAGAAATGGGTTAACTTAAGATATAAGAACTAGATAACAAGAAGCCTCGCATGGCCATAGTTTAAAAATAATATTAGCCTGTGTGTGTTTATTTGGGTCTGAGCAGCTGCGGGACCAGTGGGTAAGAGAGATTTGTCCTGACTGCAGGCCAGGCAGGACACAGGAAAACTTTCAGCTATACCACACTTTAAAACTCATACCTGTCACCATTATTAAGGCCAAGAACTGCCAGGCGGTGGTGGCGCACGCCTTTAATCCCAGCACTCAGCAGGCAGAGGCAGGCGGATCTCTGTGAGTTCGAGGCCAGCCTGGTCTCCAAAGTGATTTCCAGGAAAGGCACAAAGCTACACAGAGAAACCCTGTCTCGAAAAACCAAAAAAAAAAAAAAAAAAGCCAAGAACTTGTGGCTAGACAGATCATAGGTCCTAGGGGAGAACATATTACTATTCCACTGCTAAATGGGAATACTATTAAACTGACTCCTAATGGCTTATTGTTCTATCAATATGTTAGTGAATTTCTCAGCCCTCATTAGAGAAACTTCTATATTTGTTAGATGGTGATTAACACAGAGACCTACAACTGGCTAAGGCACAGAAAATAAGAGATTGAAGAATTCTCATCCCCAAATGGAACCTCTTTTTCCCAAAGGCTTGGATATCATTTTGGGAGAGAGGGCAGAAAGAGTGTAAGAGCCAGAGGCTGTGCATGACCACAAGGAAATAATGTTTTCTTGGAACATCAGGATATATATATATATATATATATATATATATATATATATATATATATATA